TCTTTTTTTTTTTTTTGGTACCGGGGATCGAACTGGGGTCCTTGCGCTTGCGCAGCAGGCGGCAAAACCACTGAGCTAAATCCCTGGCAATGATTCTGTATTATGAGATATCTCCTGTCTGCCTATCTTATGCTGGGTCACCATCACCCACTCAAAACTTGAGACAGAGTTATTAGAACTTTCATTTTATCCCCTAAGCCCTTTTCTTCCCCCCCGCCCACCCATGACACTCACAGTGACAGTTTAAAGAAAATAGGTTTTTTGCAAAATTCTTTCTAAGGCAAAATTATCCACAGCTCTTAACTAAAAAGTGAATTTTATAACAATGTCTGATCATAAAACTTTGCCAAGTTTAAAACTGGCAGTGAGAAATACTTCAGACAGCTTAATTGCTCCAGCCCTATGGTTTTTTGATGCTCATTATTATTCAGGATATTTTCATTTATCCACTACATAGATATTTTGATCCTTAAGACCCAGAGGAGGGGAAAAAAGAGACCAAGGCTTTTGTATGTGCCCACCACGTTCTGTCTGACTTTAGTCCTAAAAATGTCATTTCTTTTCAAATGGCTCTTCCAGAACTGCTGTTTAACTTTTTGAGATAGTATGTTGAATTGGTATTATACATCTGGCATTTTTAATTACTCCATTTATTTTTCCTTTACTATCTTTCAAACTATTCTGACCAAATAGGTATGATTAGGAGACCATTCATATTCAAATTCATACAGCAGAGATCTTTTTAAATTATATATATTTAACACATACAACATGATGTTTTGATTTTCATATACATAGTAAAATGGTTTCTACAGTCAAGCATATTAACACGTCCACTCTCTCACATAGTTGCCTTTTTGTGTATGGTAAAAGTACCTAAAATCTATTTGTATAGCAAATTCCTGGTATAAATTATAATTAACTACACCTGTAACCTCTGTTCTACTTTCTATTTTTGTATATTGGTAATTTATTCCTATTCCACATATAAAAAAGTCAGGATTTGTCTTTCTGAGTCGGGCTTATTTCACTTAGCATAATGTCCTCTAGGTTCATCCATGTTTTCACAAATGGCAGTATTTCCTTCTTTATTAACATTCCATGGTGTATGCATACCACATTTTCTTTATTCATCCAACCACTGACAGACTCTTAGATTGTTTTCATGTCTTGGCAATCGTGAGGAAGGCTGTTGTGAACATAGGAATGTGACATCTTTACAAGGTGATGATTTCATTTCCTTAGGTACAGGAACAGAATAGGGATTACTGGTTCATTTGAAGCTCTTGATAGTCAAGCAAAGAAGCCAAAAAGAGAGGACCTGTGGTATTTATTCTTTTGAATGTGAACTGGGAGCTTATTAGAAATGCAGAATCACAGGTTCCACCCATTCTGGGGCTACTGAATCAGAATCTGCACAGTAACAATTCCCCAGAGTCTCCCAGATTATTCAGATGCACATTAAAGCATGCAAATCATGCTCTACCACTTAATTAATATATGCTCTTGTGTCATAGTGTGTAGTTTTCAACATTTAGTCAGTAAGGATTGTGTACTAAGTTATTGTTGTTTACAATCATCATGCTGGTTTACGTAAAATCACATTTTTCAGAAGTGGAAGAAATTAGACAACTTTAAGTCTTGATAGTTATTTATTTGTGCAAAAATGAGATACAACCGAAACTAGGTCTAGAAAGGACAAAGTAATTTGCTGGCAGCCATACAACATTTTATTGGCAGAGCAAGGACAGGAAAAGACCTGCTGATTCAGTCTGGTTCTGACTTTACTACAGTGCTGCTTCTCACCAAGCTGGCCAAAAGTGAGCCTTTATTACTTGCTCTACCAGCATTTTCTCATTTATATTGACAATAAAAGTACAACACAAGTAAAACTATCAATCTTACTTTACAGATGAAAATACTGAAGCTTGAAAACATTAAGTAAGAGTCTAAGATCACATGACTAAAAATGGTAAATTCACTGTTTTTAGGGAGACAGTTGATGCTTCTGGCTACCATGTCATTAAAACCACACTTTTTTAAGGAAAGCATTCACTCTCCATTTATGTTTAATTCGCAACATCTAACAAACTCACAAAAAATATAAATTATTCTAAAGAAACACATTGTTATACCATAGCCTCATGCCCTTGATTCCCTGGTAATTACTGCCAGATGTAAGGAACTGATCATTTAAATTCAGGTAGGTCACTCCTGTGAAGATCTACTTTTTTCATTAATCTGTTGTTTCATATTTGTAGGCAAAGAAAGCACTGCAGCATCACCTGAGGTGTTTGTAACTTTGCCAGACAGCCATGACCTGTTTTGAGAAGCAGTGATTCCCATTTTCCTCCCTTGTCATGTGAATGAAATGGTCAGCATCTAGTAATATCAAAGTCATTTTCTTGCAAATTCCACTTCACATTTATTTGAAGACTCAAATAAAACAGGCCACAGAGGATCACACAAAGGGGAAAGTTATAACTCCTGTGTTCTGGAGAGGAGTTGAGAAGGATGCGCTCCTAAATCAGGTGATTCCCAAGAATTCACTCCCCCTGAATATTAAAAAATATGGTCTAATGGCCTGGACATAAAAGGTAAAAAATGGTAGCTGACTCTACAGTTGGAACTGACTCCTATCCCTTAATAAAGACAGTTCATCATACTCCCTAGCACTTAAATGAATAATTCTGTTATGTATAAACCTCAAATAAAGCCAGCTGTGAGTAGATCTGCTGCCTTTGAAATTTGGCCTTTTGCACAAAAAGGAAAAATGAGTTATAGAATAATAATATCTTCTCTTTTTATAATGTCTTCTTATACAGTGTTCTAAAATGATCATTACCAGTTATGTGCTTGCATTATACAAAAATTCTGCGTTGGCTCTAATGATTTTTAAATGCCTGAAAAAACATAAGGAGCTGGAAAAATTTAGGAGAAAATAATTACAGATTCCAGTATGCAACTGGCCTTACCTAGCACCCAAATCCTTTCTATATAATCAGTGTTGAACTACTTGTAGCCTCCAGGAAGCTTGAAGGTCATTTAAACAGTCTAGTCCTGACGCTTAGAAAGCTCTTCTTTTACTGTTTGAGAAATCTTCTTCATGAAGCATGAGATCATATGTAGAAAATAAGGTGTCCTTTTCATGGGAAGCAGTCAATGATTATTATCTCATCTTAAACAAGACATCAAAATTCAGGTAGCCTTTCCAAGAGATAGATCTCTTATCTGCTGAGAGAAATACATAATGTCTGCAAAACTCCTGAGTAAAGCTCTTTTCCTAAGAAATTTTCTGTGTGGAATATTTATATTCCTGCAAAAGAATAGAAACTTATATTGCAGTTTCCTAAATACAAATTGTGTCTAGTGCCATGATGAGCATACAATTTCTTCCCTAAGGCAAGCAATGTACGCACTCAGTATATTCCACACCCTCCCCAACCCCAAATGATTGTTGTCAGTGGTAACACAGGTTGACAGAAAGTTTGCGTCACATGATCACTCAGAGACCTAGACTGATGGGAAAAAAATTATCATCTTTTAGTTGTTCCTCTCCAAAACTATAATCTGATTGCTATTCAGGATATGAATGCACTGGAAAATCTTAGACCAAGAATAAATATTGCTGTGCAGTGATATGCATCCCTCCCTCACCTGGTCCACTGGTCCAAATCATTTACATGAACTACTTAGATTCAAAGGATCTAAAAATGGAGTCTTCCAAATCCTAAGAAAAAGAAAACTGGATATTGGATATTGGTAAAACTATTTCATGTCTCCCTGAAATATTTCTTTTCCAAAATAATCACCTGTAATTGTCAAGTGATATATTTGCCATAGCCCTGATCTTTCTACTTGCTTTCCTATGGTCATCTCCATTTTAAGAGTTCCTGACCTGCACCTATAAACCCCTCAAAATTACATGTGAATTTTATAATCACTTTTACATCCTAAGGGAAAAAGGATATGGATTTCAAAGGGGTTATACTGATAAGAATTCAGTTGCACAATGATCTGATCATTACTGAGTGCTATTTTTCTGTGTAATGACATGAACAGAAATGCAACATTTCTCTAAAAATAGCTCAACATTGCATTGGGAGTTTTTTGACAGAATACTGGACTCCACAATGTTTGTAGGCAACTAAAATAACCAAGAATGTACCACTTCAACTGCTATCAAGCCATATATCAGAAATTCTGAACTTAGGAGGGTTGTTTCAGTTATTTCTCTTAGCTCTACTCATTTTCATTCACTACTTTGGGCTCAATGTTCTCATTTGGATAAATTAGTTTGAATCTTAATTTTGTCATTAAACAGATCATCTATTTGTTTTCTGTTCAACCTCAAACATAGATTCATTAGAGTCAACTACACAAAACATCAGGTAGTTCAGTGTAAAGGGCACCATACCAGATGAGAACCCCCCGCCCAACTCAATGCAACTGTGCCCACCAGGACACTGAAGATGGCCTTTTCTGCATCTGTTCCTAGGTTTTTCAGTGGTGAGGAATGTGTTTACCTCTCTAACATGGTACACTGCCCCTGCCCCTCTATTTGTAGCCCTTTCCATGCAGTGGGCAGGTCTCTCACGCCATTTCAAAAGATGTCAGTGATGATCTGAAATCCAGATGGGGCACTGTAGCTGACCTCCAGCCCACACCCAGTTTACTGGCAGGCTATAAGTGGCATAGGCTTCTTGCTTCCCCATAATTTGACTGTATTGTATTAGAAGTCTGACCGAAGCCTACGTGACTCATGTGGTCATGTCAGATGGTGCTTGGGTGAGCATAGCTCCCCCACCAATGGCTGCAGCAGAGACCTAAGTCCTGGTCTGTGAAGCTATAGGGCCCTGATATGAGATATCATCACAACCAAGGACAGTATGGCTCCAACTAAATTCCTTTCCCTGAATTATGGCCTCCCCTGAATTATGACCTGATGGATTACTGATTAATTATGACCCAGTCTTGGTCCCCCTTTGTTTTTTCTGCAGGAATGCCTTGTCCCCCTTTTAACAAGCCCTGTCTGCATTAGCTGCTATCAACAGATGCCTCACACACTATCTCCAGAGGTCTCGAGTACACCCTGCCCTATTTCTTCCCACGCTGTGTCATCAATAAATACTGGAGGTCTTGGGATACCTGGGTTCTTTGCTGCCAGCTCAGCTCAGACCATCCCAGATTCCCATTTTCTGTTTAAGTCTTGTTTCAGTGTCTTTCGTTTGCCTTGCCTCATATCACCAAAGCAGGAAATTGGGGCTCAAGGCCAGGGTCCCCAATACCTCACTAAATTGTTTTGTTTCAAATTTCCTTTAACTAAAATGTGTTTTTAGTATTATCATTTTAATCCCAGCTTTTACATCAAATATAAATTCTAGAAAGTTATATAATATCTCTGGGACTTATTTTATCCCTGAATAAAAAAACTAGTAAGAATGGAAATCTCAGAGCCTCTTGCAACTCTAGAGAGATAAGATGCTCAGAAATTGCTGCACATTTTTTTCTGAAAAGTGAAAATCTTCCCAGATAAAAATGTTTCCAGTTGCATTCCTGTGATGACAAAGATGCTGAAGAATGGGGAAATGATGGGGACTTCCAAATTGTGTGCGTAGTCCACTGAAGAATCAGGAAGAAAACTCCACCTCTGTCTAGTCCTTCTAAAAAGAAAGCATCACTTCCTCCTCTTGCCAGGTATTAAAATGCCCTACGTGTCACCTAATAGTAATAACTGCTTGACCTTGGTTAAGGCCATCTATCAATTCACATTGCATTGTCCTCTTAGCTCCAAAAGCCTCACAAGGTTAACTGTGCATTGATGCCACAGCATTTATCTAAGGATCACAATATTATGAGACTACAGTTCAGAAAATAATACAGATGTCACACACTTGTTATAGTTATTCAGCAGAAATAGAAAATTTACAGCTGTGTTGCTTTACCTACTCTTTTTGAAATATTTATCCTAGACAACTACTGTTCTCAGATTAATGTCATTCAATCTTATTTCAAAGGGTTGACAGTGATTTCCCTCCTCACTCAAAAAGTCCTGCATAATCACACCCTATGCCAGGAAACCTCCAATATGAAGTCACCAGAAGCCATTTTACAGGTTTCCAGGAACTGCATCTCTTTCAAGACGAGTAAGACATCACTTTTAGTTTACATGTACTTTGGGGCCCAGGAGAACAGAAAGCTTAAATGCATTTCATAATGAATTCCTTGTGAGAAATTATAAAAATCTATAAATAAACCCTATGTCAGAGATGCCAGACCAGTCATCAGTGTTCCAAGGAATACAGGAATTGTTTTCAGTAAGAAATTGACTTTATCAGAAAAATATTTCTGTCTCCTTGGCTTTGCTCTGTTCACTCTGTGTGAACATTACCTCATTAAGGAATCTCTCTCTAAGGGAGATCTGGAACCATCAACCACTTGTTGTTACCTCAGTCCAAGAACAAACAAGCTTCTTCTGGTCTAGGCTTAAAAACTACATCCTTCTCCATTTTCAGGGAATTGAGATCATTTTGAGTCAAGCATTTTTTGGAAGGTTTTCCTCAGGTCTTCCATGGGTGAAAACATGAGGCAAGGAGAGGAAGTCAACTATTACAAGGGCCTCTCTGAATTAATTATCCAGCAAGCAAAATCCTTCTGGAACCAACTATTACTTTCTAAAGGAACACACCTTGCTAACCTGAGCAGAAATAGTCTTAACTGTCACTTTACCATCTGATTAAGCAACGGTAGCTTGAGCATTGTACATCCTCAACAGATAGTTGTAGGTGTACTGACTGAAGAGTTTTTGTTTATACTGTATCTACTATGTCTCTGGGACCACAGAAAGTAATTTAAAGGGATAAGACATGGCATAGGGCTTCAAGGAAATTATAATACATTTGGAGAAAGCAATGACATGTTTACTACAATTGGAAATCAATATTACAAAATCTGCAAACTTTAAAAGACTTATAGACTTTAAATTACTTGTTGACTTTGACAAAGACAAAAATGGGGGAAGTAGATACTGATCTATTTGTTTATGCTGGGTAATAATACTAAAGTTAACAGATAACCAAAAATCTTACTGGCTTACCAAATATTCATCTCCCATTCATGAAATGTCTGAGACTCGCTAAAGTTCTGCTGAATGTATTCTTTTATCAAGATCTCAGTATTAGGAGTATCTTTATGATAAGCTGCTGGCAGAGGGAACTGATAAAAATAATGAAATAGGAAGAAAAGTTCTAAAGGGGAAGGGGAACTGGGAGGGGTAGTGGAAAGGAAAGAAGAGAAAGGAAAAAATATGAGAAAAGGAAAAAATGGGGGGCTGGGGATTTAGCTCAGTGGCACCGCGCCTGCCTGGCAAGCTCAAGGTCCTGAGTTTGATCCCCGGTACAAAAAAAAAAAGGAAAAAATGGGAACAAAGTCTTTGTAAATAGGAAGGGGTGGAAAGGTTGAAGGGAGGGCAAGGGAATGGAGAAAAAATAAGAACAAAGATATATCATGCAAAGGTACAAATTCCCAATGATGAATGTCATCATATACCTAAAATGTATCAATAAACTCAATTTTTAAAAAAATAACAAAACCATACAAAGGCTCTTGAAACTTCTGCTTGGTCCCAGCACTTCCATATTCCATATTCCATATTCCACATTGGCCAAAGCAATTCATATGTCCAAGCCAACCATTAGCGGGTTAATTACAGCTACCAGTAGGATTGCAGTAAATCACTTAGTAATCAATGAGAACATTTAATTCCTTTAGAGGGAAGGCAGCAATTAATATAACAATAATACATTAATGTAATATAGCACACAACAATACAATCAATTGAAAGCTCTACCAGAATAGTATGTATAAAATATGGCTTATCAGAAAGAAGAAAGAAGGATTTTTCTAGGAGAAGAAACAAGAGAAAAACCCAAGTCAAAGGGTATATCCATATTGAATTTACCTGAGACTTCTAAAAAGGCCTCCAAAACTGTTGTAATGATTTTCATTATCATCAGTATATGAAAGGATCTTTCTAACCCTATATTTCACCCATTTTTCTATGGGCCAACTTGTGAGGTAGAAAAATTTTTCATTTATATTTTCATTTACTTTTCTCTGGTGAAGATTGGGTATTTTTATGTGTTTTACAGTTATTTTTTGCTTTCCTATGGTGTAAGAAAACCTTTTGGGAAGAGAATATATATATATATAGAGAGAGAGAGAGAGAGAGAGAGAATATATATATATATATATATATATACACACACACACACATATTCTGTCAATATTTATTGTTATATGTGCGGTACCAGATTTAGACAATGACTAGAGGAAATAACAGGGCTCTAAAGTTAGGGATTGTTGTTTGTACATGTGACAGAATTTATTGTTTCCTTATTTGAAACATTTCTAAATATACTTAACTTACTGGATGTAGACAACATGTGGAAACCTTGGAGAAAGACTGCAGATTTATAACATGCTAAGTCTTGACTATGAACACATATATTTGATCATTAAAATTAAGAGTCTTCTGTCTTTGGGCTTACAGGAATGTTGTTCTCCTGTGATTCAAAAGTACAAACCATTTAGCAAAGCTTTTGTTCCTTCCTTCCTTCCTTCCTTCTTTCCTTCCTTCCTTCTTTCCTTCCTTCCTCCCTCCTTCCTTCCTTCCTTTCTTTTTCTTCTTCAGTACTGGAAATTGAACCCAGGGCTTTCACACTAATAAATGTGAGAAGTGCAATATACCAGTGGTGGTGAACCTGTGGCACACATGCCACACCAGGCACCCATAGCCCTCACTGTCGGCAAGTGAGCCAAGTCACCACAGTGTCTCTCCCAATAGCTGAGCACTGGATATTCAGGTTTAATTGCAATGTTGGCACTTTTCGATAAGTAGGTGGGTTTAGGGTTGTGGTTAGGGCACTTGGTCTCTAAAAGTTCTGCCAAATTGATAATTTGAAATAGGAAGAAAAGATCCAAAGTGGTAGGGGAAGTGGGAGGGAAAGGGGAAGGGAAAGAAGGTAAAGGAAAAATTATGAGAAAAGGAAAAAATGGAAACAAAGTCTTTGTAAATAGGGATAGGAGCACAGGGAATGGGGAAAAATAAAGAACCAAGATACATCTGTACAGGTACAAGCACCCAATGATAAATGTAAATGTATTGTATACCTAAAATGTACCAATAAAAGAATTTAAGCAAAAATAAATAAATAAATAAATAAGTCTTCCATCACTGTTATATACTAATCCTTTCCTCAAAATCACAAGCTCGGTGGCCTTAGGCAAATGACTTGCTTTCTCTGTCTTTAATTCCCACATGAGTAAAATGTTGTGATAATATAGTACTTTCCATACAAGGTTCTTTGTTAATACAAGCCAAGCACTTAGAACAGTATCAGGCACATAGTAAGTGCTTAATGAGTTTGTTATTATCATCTCCTTAATATTAGTAGTAGCAGTGGTGGCAACATCTACCAGCACTGAAAAATCACATGGCAAACAAACCTATTTAACATTACTTAACTGCTGTTCTCTCTCATTAGTTTTTTTCACTTAATGCATCTTACCTTTGAGAAATGCCATTTTTCTCTTTTTCTGAATCCTCAAATAGAAAATGAGTAATAACAGGGAACAAAGAGACCAGGCTCAAAGGCAATATGAGAACCCATCCTGTAATCTGTGTGTAAACTCAAGTTTTCCCTCAAGTACCAGCCCAAAGACATCTCCTGCCTCTCCTGTACTAGATTTCACCAGAAACTCGACACACCTTGACCCATGTGATATCAAGCATTATACAGTAGTTATCTCTGACAGCTACTGTGTAATAGAACAATTTTTTTAAATACCTGGGCTCCTGTCTTCATGTTCTTCCTGTCACACCAAGAGAACCATTTCTGTGAATAGCTGATAACTTACTGGAAGATATCAAGAAGAGATGATTCTTTCTGTTGTCACCCTCTCAGTGCAAAATAAAGCACAGATTTCTATTCTACAGAGCAAAATCTGACTTTTTTTGTCTAGAATCCAGGGCAGCATTAAATTCAACATTGACTTCCTTAACATGAGCCACAATTGCATGGAATTGCTTGTACAGCACATAGACTCTCCCTCTCCTCCTGCTCTTGCAGTGTTCATTTCATGAAAACTAAGCATGCTCTGTCCTTAACAAAAAGGAGCATCCCAAGCACTGCTTGGAAAGAGCTA